CCATCGAGCCAATTCCTAATCCACCTCCCCGTCCACACATCTATCCCACACCTTTGGAGCTTGCCCAGGAGGATGCTGTGAGGGACTGTGTCAAAAGCCTTGCTCAAATAAAATAAATAAACTAAGATGCATGAGCTAAGTCTCCAACACGCTAAATTGCATGTTTCTCTAGCAATCTGGCATAATTTTCTCTCTTCGGTACTCTTTCTTGCATTCATCTCTCTCTGAAACCACGAAATTGACCTAAGTTGTGAAAGCGACAGATTGTCCACTCTCAGCTCTGAAAGACCCTCAATAACCTTCAAGATAACCTGAAGAACAACATGACAAATATATCTAGGACTTCTAAAGCAGTTTTATTCTTCAGTTCAGTTCCTTATTCTKGTTTGGTTCATTTTGAATGTCTCTTAACCACATTTCTCAAATGAACATCTCAATGCACACTGTATTTTAACAACTCTAAATCCTTTCAGCATCAAGAGTAACCACTTTACCTCAGAGGCAAGCTCTTCAGCACGGTCAAAAAAGTTGGTCTCCATCAGTCCAAATGCATAGTAGCCCTTCACATAGCTAAACAAAAGAAGGGAAGAAACAAAAGCACCGTTTTATTCACTTAGAACTAGATTTAAAATAGAAGTGAAAGGAAAAAAAAAAAGCAGGGGTAAACAAAAGAAAGAACAACCAACAAATTAACCTTACTGTGCTGGCAGAGTGTCATGTGGAACTGGAAACTCATCATTTTAAGAAAAATAACTTTGCAATACTAAATTGTAAGAGCTAGTTTCAAGTTCTCTTTTCCTGAATATAGTCCAAATCACCAYTTTATCAGTTTCAAGCTTTAAAACATTCAGTAGAAAATACAATTTTACCAACAGAGGAGAAAATATATCTCCAAGTGAATCCCGTGTCAATGCATGCAGTGAAAGCACGCACCATCAGGGTCTTGCAAGCTGATATTTTCATCTCTGGACAGGCCAGGATTAACAGGGCTGCACAGAACAATCTGCTCATCTCTGAGCCACACCAAAATGCAGAACTGGTGGTTAAAAGTTAAACGGTGCTACTTKGAAGATTAACTGATGGTCACAAAGGCCACCCAAATGCACGACTGTAGCCTTTTGCACTTTCCAGAGCGCCAATAAAATTATAGGCGAATATTTTCATGGGAAGTGGTTCTCTGAAATTGTTTTGTCCTTGTTGATTCACACAGCACCCTAGCTAAGCAATAAAGGCTCAATGTAAAGGGAAAATGGGCATGCTGTAAACCCTTATGGATATACCTGCTGSAGTAAATGTTAAGGAATATTTAACATCTGTTGTTTTTGCCCATTGGAGGATGGCAAAATATCATGGTCTAAGGTTTACTGTTCTCAAAGTATCTGTTGCATTATTGTTTTTAAACTCCTGAAATAATGGAAATAATCCTCTGTGTGGAGTACACTGGCCATGATTAACTTCCAGCACTGAAATGAAGAAAGGCTCATTTTTGGACCAATGTTTCAGTTCATGAAAAAGTAGGCAACTCTTGGTCTACAAGTCTCTGCCCAACACATTCTGCTATTTCAGTGCGTCTCAAATTAAAAAAAAAAAAAAAAAAAAACCCATGCATATACCAGATACAATCTTCAAAATAATACATAAATAATACATGACCTACCTGCTGAGAGGTACATCGGGTGTCCAGAAAGGATAAACTCGGGCAACAGAATCCCGCATCTGTATGTGATATCCAAGGTAGAAATAAGTGTCCTGGGAAAATTTGAGGGCTAGCAGGTCAGTGGGGTGGCTCTGCAGAATCTCTTCCCACAGGTCACAAGCTTTTGGAAGATGGCTAGAAACAAGTAACAGTGTGAAAACTAAAAGACATGCATACCTACCTCTGCTGCCATGAGTAAYCTCAGGCTACATCAATAAATGGAAAACGCAACTTGAGAAGACCTTGTCTTGAAGGAATTTCCTTCTGAAAGTTTATCATGACACTGACTTCACAAAGCCCCTTGACGGGAATTGTGTAAACAAAATTCTTATAAGCCTGGTCTTATAAGCCACACACTGTAATAGACAAAAGAATCAAATCTAAGTCATTAATCAAAAAGTGTTCCTGCATGGGTCAACTTTAAGGTTGTATAGAGAGCTGCTAGGCTTCAACTAACCTCACAGGCATGAGAACATCAGCTGTCTTCAACCTTGAGGTGCAATCAGACCAAGAGGAACAAGGGCTCCAAACATTTCCCTCATATTTTATCTTTGTTCATAAATCGGTGCTCATCTGCTTGCTTAGCAAACAAGGAAAGGTGGGCCTTGCTCTCCACAAGGTACATACATTTATGATAGCAAACAAAACAGGGATGCCCACAGTGCTGCTGTCACTCCTCTATTTCCCCATTTTACAGCRGAAACYAAGCTTTTGCTACAGGGAGACAAGAGAGAAACAGAAAGGTCTGTGGCACTACTCCTATGGCCCCTTGTCTGGGTGGTATTATCCTGGTCCTTTGGAGCAGCTAAATAGCTTCTCAGTTGTAAACAACTTCTTCCACTCATGGACCTATGACAAATTCTAAGAAAGGAATGTATGATCCCATGATGTAGCAGCCACACAGCATATGTTTGCCAAAGGTGCTAGTGGCTAACCCATCCCGGCGCATACACTTGAGATAAATTCAAGAGTAACTCTCTATAGGTCATCTTGACCCTTTGCTACATGCCAATAACCTCAGGCCGCACCACTACTGCCTAGCACTTCCATTTGAGTTTCCTGCAATCTTCAGACTTTCCAACAGCAGGAAAGATGACAGCATAACAGCAGATGGGATGCATCCTTAGGYAGTAYGCAGYSAYAGCAAAAAGTCCCCCGTCCCTTTCCCCYGAGGGCCRGCCACTTACCCATTGGCAAACATGYCCAGCGCAGACACGTGGAGCTTCTCCCGCTCAGTCAGTGCCTGGGATTTTGCGAGTGTCATCATYGTTCTCAYTGCACTGTCCAGCTCTTTGTTRAGCCKCACTGAACTTCCAGYGCCAATCAGCTCCAAACCRTTAGTGATGACATGTCCCATTGCTGCAGAAACCAGCACATGCAGAGCTTGCAATGTAGAGAATTTACTACTACATAAAGTTCTGAAAGGGGSATTGTTTTGTCTGCTTGCTTGTTTCTTGGTTTCAAAAGGGGATWGTCTTATAGGTGAAAGTACTTCTAGCTTATAAGACATTCTCCAGRAGAATCAAGTTGAAGTAATAAAGGTTACACTTACTAAAACTTGGATCTGCTGCTTTTAACTTGGAGAGACATCCCTCAATACCTCCCAGAGTCTCATTATTGGTCCAGGTTGCATACTGAAATGGCAAAATACAATTGCTAGAAATCAGACGATGCTGAACTTCTTTTGATTTGCACAAGTAAGTAAAACTCAAAAGGAAGCAAGACAAAAGAGGAAAGGAGAAACTTTATTTTCAGGTAAGAATCAGCTTAGTAGGACGATGGAGATACTGGCTTCTTTAAGGCATGCCAGTGAGAGGAAGAACTAATAATTTAAGGGTTTCTGTAGTTTGTGTCTAGTGGTGGATTTTCCAGTGTCAAGCAGGAAGAGCTGGCTGGCCAGAGGTTTGCCCTGCAGCAGGAGAAGTTGGAATATCTCTCCAAAAGAAGATTTATTTATTTATTTATTTATTCTCTCTACTAACAGCTGGCTTTAGTAGACATGTGGCAGCTTGCTTTTGAGGTTTCCCCCTTCTCAGCCCCTTTTTCTCACAAGATTTGCATGAAGGTCAAATCCTTGAGTTTGCAACCTTCTGGTGACATTTGGCTGAAATTGCCTAAGTCACATATTCCTGGGAAGTACAAGGGGCACCTGTGCACACACACATGCACAGGCCTTGCTTAAGCCTTCTTTCCTGAAGAACCTCAAGGAAAAACAGCTRCTTTCTAATCTTCTRGTTGATAAGAASTTTAAAGAATGTRTGCAGCTGTTYATACACAAYRCCCTTCTATTCACMGTCACGCAWYTTTTTCTGTCCTACCTGGGTCAAGGCAGCATCAAACAGTTTACAGGCTTCATTGCTGGTAGTGGAGAGAATAAGTCCAGCATCCTGCCAGGCCTGCAGNACCTGTGCTGCACACATGCACAGGCCTTGCTTAAGCCTTCTTTCCTGAAGAACCTCAAGGAAAAACAGCTGCTTTCTAATCTTCTAGTTGATAAGAAGTTTAAAGAATGTATGCAGCTGTTTATACACAATGCCCTTCTATTCACCGTCACGCAACTTTTTCTGTCCTACCTGGGTCAAGGCAGCATCAAACAGTTTACAGGCTTCATTGCTGGTAGTGGAGAGAATAAGTCCAGCATCCTGCCAGGCCTGCAGAAAAAAAAAAAAAAAAAGGCTTATTTCACACATTGATTATCCAGACTAAGCCAACAAATTTAAAAAGGCATCATACTTTTAGGTGTTCTTTGACCATGTTGGAAAAAAAAAGGAGAAAGAAAAAGCTGGGAGGAAAATGTGAGCAGCCATGAAAAAAGAAAACCTTTATGGAGTTATAATCATATGGCAGAATGAATTAAATAGAGGCTGCAGTGGTGCAAGAGGTGACATGCTTTAGAAGGCCCAAGACATTTCAACACATTATGAACCTTGTAAGTACAGAAACAAGCGTAATTCAATACAATGCCGTTTTGATCTCTCTGTTGCAGATAGACATCTTCACAAGCAATAATACAGCAAAAGAAAACCACACTTTGCTCYTGATGAAATCAAGACCACAAACAGCACAGAGGACCAATAATGTGCCAGAGAAATCCACCAAGGGACTGGATGTAAGCCAGCTAATAACTGCTTCACAGAGTAGGGCAGAGGTGTTACAGAAAGGAAGAACATGCACCCCCCATCAAGATAAAATGCAATATAGCATCAGGCTCACACACCTTCTTAACAAGTTACAAAACACTAAGGGAGATGTCACATGCTCAACTGTTCTCAAACTGCTCCAAGATTAAAAGCACCAATTTGACTCTGGGTGCTAGATGGGCTCTTTACCCAGCAGTGCACTTAGCTGTGGCAAATGAGTTCAAGGCAGTCTTTAAGCATGCTCTGAGAAGTATCTCAGCAAACAAAGCAAAAATCCAAAGACTCTTCCCAAATGATTAACTTACTCACAGGACTGCCGAGAGCACATAGCCAGTTCAGCACTAAATGCCAAGAGCACATTTTCTGCCACTGCTGGCAGCACACCCACAAGGACTCTCATTCCACAGCGGCCACTGCTTCCCTTCAACACTTGCTAACACAGACTCTTCTAAACCAGCTGCTGTGTGTACCAGCTCATCACTCGCTCTACAGCTTGCCTGCACTGAGCCCATCACTGCCTTCACACTGGAGCTGTCTCAAGCACTGGCAAGATGTGTTTCTTGAGAGACGCCTACAGAGGAGAGAGACACTGCCCAGACACTTTATCCATTGTCTAGCCAAGGCCAAAGCCTGGACCTTTTTCCCTGCTTTAAGCCAAGAGTTTAGGAACAGGATCTGGTGCTTATTTACTCAGAGCCGTGTCCCTTGAGGAGCGCCTGCTGGCTCTCAGGACCCTCTGCTGCTTCCNAAAAAGAAGGCTCATTTCACACATTGATTATCCAGACTAAGCCAACAAATTTAAAAAGGGATCATACTTTTAGGTGTTCTCTGACCATGTTGGAAAAAAAAAAAAAGGAGAAAGAAAAAGCTGGGAGGAAACTGTGAGCAGCCATGAAAAAAGAGAATCTTTATGGAGTAATAATCATATGGCAGAATGAATTAAATAGAGGCTGCAGTGGTGCAAGAGGTGACATGCTTTAGAAGGCCCAAGACATTTCAACACATTATGAACCTTGTAAGTACAGAACCATGCGTAATTCAATACAATGCCATTTTGATCTCTCTGTTGCAGATAGACATCTTTGCAAGCAATAATACAGCAGAAGAAAACCGCACTTTGCTCTTGATGAAATCAAGATCACAAACAGCACAGAGGACCAATAATGTGCCAGAGAAATCCACCAAAGGACGGGATGTAAGTCAGCTAATAACTGCTTCACAGAGTAGGGCAGAGGTGTTACAGAAAGGAAGAACATGCACACCCCATCAAGATAAAATGCAATATAGCATCAGGCTGACACACCTTCTTAACAAGTTACAAAACACTAAGGGAGATGTCACATGCTCGACTGTTCTCAAACTGCTCCAAGATTAAAAGCACCAATTTGACTATGTRGCTGCTAGATGTGCTCTTTACCCAGCAGTGCACTTAGCTGTGGCAAGTGTGTTCAAGGCAGTCTTTAAGCACGCTCTGAGAAGTCTCTCAGCAAACAAAGGAAAAATCCAAAGACTTCCCAAATGATTAACTTACTCACAGGACTGCCAAGAGCACATAGCCAGTTCAGCACTAAATGCCAAGAGCACATTTTCTTCCACTGCTGGCAGCACACCCACAGGGACTCTCATTCCACAGCGGCCACTGCTTCCCTTCAACACTTGCTAACACACACTCTTCTAACCCAGCTGCTGTGCATACCAGCTCATCACTCGCTCTACAGCTTGCCTGCACTGAGCCCATCACTGCTTTCACACTGGAGCTGTCTCAAGCACTGGCAAGATGTGTTTCTTGAGACGCCAGTAGAGGAGAGAGACACTGMCMAGAYACTTTATCCATTKTCTGGCCAAGGCCAAAGCCTGGCCCTTTTTCCCAGCTTTAAGCCAAGAGTTTAGGAACAGGATCTGGTGCTTATTTACTCAGAGCCGTGTCC